AGCGAAGGCCAGCGCCGCTGGCAGGCCACGATGGCGTCGCGACATGGGGGTTTCCGACAATTAAAGGTAATTTCCTATTTTTTGGGGGGGTCCGTATAATCAGGATCCTACTATTTAGGTTACTACATTTAAAATGTGGATTCGACGTTTTAGGTGTCGGGGTTCTGGGTTAGAGATTTAAGGGTTTCGGCACTGGACTGATAAACCAACCAACCATGTGGAACCCAGCAAGCCGTTGTAACCCCAAACCCTGAATCCATACCCAATCAGGAATAAGGAGCCCTTGGGCCTACGGTTTACCTATGTCTAAGCTGCACAAGACTCGCTTCCTTCCGCTCTCAACCTGGCCTAAACCTTCTACCCTAAGTGACAAACGCTGTAAACACGACAGCCAAAGGATGAAGCTACGAGGATGTTCGTTCGAAGTTGCAGATGCCTGATGTCGGCCCTCCCTCCCCTCCCGAGATGCTGTCTTGTGCTTCAGATGCTCAGGCTGCAAGGCAAATCGATGTGAGGTTTAGGGCTCCTGCTTTAGGTTTTCATGGAATTTCAGTCCTCTGCCACTTTTGGCCAAAGGAGTTTCGCTTCGAGGCCAAAGCTGTTGCACCACTGCTGTAGAACATAGGTGCTTGAGTACTAGAATGTGGCGTATCTCATACTTCATCCTGGTTCGTACCTGCATGGCTACCGACACACATCCGTGTTTGTATATATGCATACACATATATATATATATATATATATATACATGACACGTATAATCTGCGTATGTATGTATCCCTACATTGACATATATGTCTACATACACCAGAATACTTCGAGATGAAACTTCTTCTCGCTCTCTAACCTCGTAACAGCCCCACACTCGACATCAACCCCGACATCCTGTGAGTCAGAACCCCTGCAATCTAAACAAGATTCCGAACCATAAACCCTCGACCCTTCACATCAATCCAAAGCCTGCACCCTCGCCTTGCTCCTGAAACCCTAAACAAGCTTTCAGGACACATGGGAAGAGCCGTAAACCCTGAACCCTAAACACCTTTCTTGCTGGATGAGGCTTGCCTGTTTGATGGCGGAGTCGTGCTATTGAACCATGCTCTACTCCCAGTAGGGCTTAGGTTCAGGGTTTTCGGCTTAGGAGCAGTGAGACTACTGATGACGACAACAGTTTGACCATCTTCGCAATATCAGAACCAAAGCGTTATCACATACACGTGTCATCAAACCCGAGCCCACGCTCAATCCGTATACCGCTGGCATCCCGAAAACACCGAACCACCCCCTCTTTGCAAGCCGCAACATCTAGTGCCGTCAGTAAACCAGAATCCTGTGAGCCCTACACACGCAAATGCTAAGCCTATCAGCCTATCGTGGTCAAGCCGAGACCCCATTTCCGAAATCCGAAACCTCAAACTTGAAAACCAAACTCCGACTCCTGAGTATAGTAGAAACCGCTAAAAACCTAAAAGCTAAACCCAAAAGTCCCTAACTCAAGAATCCCTGAACCCACTTTGTACGAGAGATCCAGCTGAGAGAGCTCGGTCTTCGACACACCGGGAGGTAGAGACGAACACCGGGCGGTTTAGGCTTTTAGGGGTTCGGCTTGAGTCCGGTTTAGGCTTTAGGCTTGAGGCTTGGGTCCTTGGGCTTTCGGGCAAATAGGGTAATAGGCATTAGGGCCGAGGGAAATCCGGTCTGTCAAAGAATTCGCGATGTGCGTTTGCCTAAATCCTAAGCCCTAAAACCCAAACTTTGTTTTCTTTCGTGCGGCCTGGCGGGCCCAAGAGTATCTTTCGGAACTCGGATAGCAGCAATGTACTAGATTTTACAATTTCTGCGGGGGAGCATATGACTTAGGCGCTGAGAACCCTAGCCCAAAGAAGGTTAAGCCCAATGGTAGGGTATATTATAAACCCCAAAAGGCTAAAGGTTATCTACTCAGCTACTAAGCCATCTGGTACCTTGGGATAGGGATATGTTTTTGGACGAGAGCTTTTGGGGTGGTTGGACTGCGGTGGATTAGATCTTTCGAGTGTGTATAGACAGAGTCAAGAGACTGAGAGTTTAAGCTTTGGGGTATTGGATTCAAGGTACAGGTCCTTGACCCTACACTTTTGACCCAAAGCCTTGGGCAGAGGATGTGTATCTGGGAATCAGCCGTTCTAATTCCGTCATGATTAGAAGAATGCCGTGGAAGTAAGGTTTCGCAACGGGTTTCATTGGCGTGTTGGGAGTTTTCTCGGGTATGTAATTGTGGCTACGATCTAGTTTAACTGTATGTGGTTATCAACTTCCATCTGCACTCACAACCGCTTCTACCAAAGCAGTGCCAGGAAAAATGTAAACCAGACTAAGAAACTCGCAAGTTCCTCGGGCTCTGTAATTGTAATCGAAGGGGGGGTTTAAATCACGGGTCTAAATGCTGAAATTCGGTGTAAGCCGGGCTCCTTCTTAGTGTCGGAAATTGATCATCCAGCTGCTGACAGCCTAGGTTGGACATGAGGATGGATTGATCACCTCCCACCTCCTACGGTAAAAGAACTATATACAGGGAATCCACCCTCACTGAAGGTCATGCAGAGAAAAGGGCTATAGTAGCTATAGGTGGACGGCGTTCTTCGGGTTGCTGCGGTTGGTTGGGTCTGTGAGGTTCCGCCGTACTTGGCTCGTCTGGACCTCAGGGAACAGAGGTCCTCCGTTTTGGCCGCGCAACGCTTCCGCTGCGGCCTCAACTGAAACGCGCTGCCGGATGGCGCCATCGACAAAATCAGAGCTGCTGCGCGCCACGTCGATTTATACAAAGGGGAAGGAGCACAAATTTTCGATGAAACGCAACACCCCGTATTTAACCGTAACCCTAATCGGTGTAAGCATGTTGTGACTCCTCTGATGCTAGGTTGCTGCTTCCCGGCCTTGCAGCCTAGAGGCACTGGACGCAGACATGTTTGTCCAGCTGTCCATACAACATCTGCTGTTCTTGTGCCGCCTCTGGCGCAGACCCCAAATAAATGTACAATGCATTCTCTTCTGCAATAACCGGGCCCAAAAATTCAAGCTTTGTTAGATAGACCACACACATCCTGCCAAATAGTTCACAGTTCTCCCATTGGCTATCTAAGGCAATAGTAGACTTCAACCATGCCGGGCAAACGCATCATCTGTATGCAGAAGCCAAAATAATCACTTTCAGGACAGTCTTAAGTTTACCTGTATCATTGTACTCGGAATGCGAATACCACAAAACCGTATTCCATTTATTGAGCTCAGCCCTAAACAATCTCCTGAAGCTCCACAGCATCCCAAAGTCATACCTATTTCGCAATTTTGCCAAGATGCTGCTATGAGTTGCTTTTTGGTTCATAATCTCTTTTGTTGCCGATTTTCACTGCTCCATCGAGCGCTGAATCTGGAAATGCCAGCTACGTTATCAATCTACAGGTGCTCTCAAACCCAATCCCCCCACAGCAAGAAGCCCTGAATTCTAGGCAATCCAATGCAGGGAAAACAGCAATCATAAATAATTAGGTTTTGGGTTTTAGTCCACAATAACATGTATACGTATTGCGAACTCTACGTTTCGTCATATGGCTTCGTGGCGTAGTGTATGTAGGGGTTCAGGGTGTAAGGTTTGTGACTTATACGGCCGTATAAGGTGTATGATTTATGTTCTCCACGCCCCCCCAGGGCGATCACCAGAGCAAGCAGGGAGGCGGATGAGACTTCGTGCAAGGCTCAGTGTGCCAAGCTAGTACGGACCGGGCCGCCCCTTGCTGCCCTGGCAGGGAATTTGCTCCAACGCTTTGGGGGGGGGACTGGCTTTTGGCTCCACGGGCTTTCGATGGCCAAGTTCCGAGTCTGGGTTTAGGGTTTAGGGGTTTACGGTTTAGGGGTAGAGTACCTACGTATGCTTGCACCTAACGGGGGAATCGGGGAACCTGAGAAACTCACCAACACTGCAGAATTCAATCATCCCTTCGCGAGTCTGGCCGGTGATTTCCGGTTCTCAAAACCCTAGGAGCCTGTATGCCTGTCGAGGGATTCCCGCACTGTGAATTTTGGCCCAGGTATATACTAAGGTATTGAAATTGTTATACATTGTTAGCCGTTTTATTACCATGATTATGGTTATCAGTACTTACTATACTAGCACGATATTTGCTACTATTTTAGGTATACGGACCCATGCTAGGAACAAGGATCCTGCTGCCGTATCTTCGGCGTAAGCCGAGTCTGGGATAAGAAAGCATAGGTACAGCTGTGGGTTTTGGGCTTAGGGCTTGGTTGTTGGGGGGCTCAGGCAATAATTGCGGAGAGTGTAGACAAGGCCAACAATCCAGGCTCCTTTAAACGGAATCCCTACAATCTGAATCACAACGCAGATGAAGTCTATATTAGGGGGGGGGGGGTAATTTGCTTACCCCCAAAGCCCTCAGGTGGGTTTGTAGGCTCCAGCTCATAGACTTGAGAACTTGTTGCATTGCCGCTTACGGTAAACTTGACAGCTAAGCCCCCAAGCCCTCAACAGTAAATCTGACCTATTTGTCTCGTTCAACACATTGCCTGAGCTCTGAATCTCAAACCCAAAGCCCTGCACATGCAAACCCAATTCTTCGTACAAGTGGCACAGGAGAAAACTAAGCAGACACACATATAGATAAACAGATGGGGGGTTGACAGATAGACAGATAGCTACCCCAAGGGTCCAAGTATGGATATAGTAGGCTCTGAGTAGATATGTAAAGCCCCACGGTATATACTGTACTGATACTTGGACCCTTAGGGATGGATAGATAGATAGAAAGATCGAGCAAGCGACAGATCCATGGATCGATGCATCGAGTATGGATACATTCCTTGATTAGCTGATTGACTGAATGCTGGAAGTACGTGGAAAGACAGACAGAGAGAGTTGAAGAGTTCTTCATATGGTCAAACTAAAAAGTATAAGTGTCCAAACCACAACGCACCCCCTAAACCCTAAACCCCATGTACATGGTTCAATCCTTCTTGTTCCCAAAGCCTGAGACTATCTCTAACACTGCCTTGCCGTCGGGACCGTCGGCGAGCTTCACGATGATGTTGCCTGCCCAGGATGACGTTTGAAACGGTTTGCGGTTCTACCTCCGACCCTAAAGAACCTGTATTCGCGGTTCTTGTTCCTTACCGTATATTCGAGAATCCAATGTTCTTCAGCCCGTATGTGCAGCTGGTAGTTCAGATGTAAAATGAAACTTCCGAGTGGGCAAACGGGTTGCGAAATTAGTGTTCAAGGTTCAGGATTTTAGGGTCAGTTTCTCATACTTGATGCTTGTATTACCCCTGAATACCCCAAACCTTAAACCCAAATGCTGTATGAACCCTCCGGGAACGAAGCAGAGCAACCACTGCTTGCGGCCTCGTCTTCGGCACTCCGATCCGCACCCAGGGAATACGAAACCGTCTTCTTGTCTTGTGAGGACTCTACATCAGGAGTATAGAAGCGTACCACCTACTGAAATCTACAGCACTTCTTTGTAGGGTCTCGACACATTTTACACAGGGCTTTGCAGCAATTCGCAGGTAGTGCTCGCACTTGATGACGCTTGCAATACAACAAAAGACACTTTGACCCCACCTACACCTTGAATTGAATTCGACAACCGAGCATCCAACTGCTTGCATCACAGTTCTGAGACCAACACCACTCAGTCGACACCAAATCGCTGCAACTTCAACGCTAAGATGGCCCTGAACCCCAAACCCAGAATCCTAAACCCCAACAAGCCTAAACCCTAAACCCCTAAACCCTAGACCCCTAAACCCTAAACCCCTACCCCACAAAGGCCGAAAAAACCACGCCTTCTCCTGGCCTTATCTCGTAACCCTGGGACATGGCCTCACATGATCGGGGTTTAGGGTTTAGGGCTTAGCTTAGGATTTAGGGTTTGTAGGGTTCAGGGCTTTAGGAGTTTAGGGTTTTAGGGTTTAGGGTGGGTTCCATGAAGAGGGCTGTGCTGGTGGGTTTGAGTGTTCTTTAAGATTTAGTGTAGGGTTTAGGGTTGGCGTGGGGTTTAGCGCCTCTAGAGCTCATAGAGTTTAAGGCTTCTGGGATTTATGGCATATGGAGTCTATGCGTGGGCAAAAGTGCTTAATTATTTAGGGTTTATTGGGATTAGGCTACCCGCACCAAAACAAAACCATCTTGTCTGAAACGCTCGAAATTGGTGTCAGGCAGGGAACATTCGAAAGCAGATCCGTGTAAGAAGGGTCTTCCGTGCTTCCTTTTGTAGGGTCGTTGGGCAAATTCAAAGAAGCCCTGAACCCCAACTGTAAACATAAAAATCGTACAGTCAGTTGCGGGACGGCGGGGCTCCTAGCCTGTTGAGGGCCCTATGGATTGGGGCATAGGAGGTTCAACAAAAAGGCTAAGGTCGTGGGGTATACCTTGAACACCTGAATAGGGCTGAGCAAGCGTTCTAGTTCAACAAGACTTAACATACAAATTGAACCTCAAAAGTTGTTCCAAACCAGGGCGGAAGGGCGTCTACTTCGGAGCTGCATTTATCATTGTAACCTTGAGATTCGCAGAACAAAATTTCTGATTCGAGGTTTTGGATTTGCCACAGGTCAAACGGGGCTAGCGTTTCGGGTGTCGAGCCATGGGCGTTCATTGGCAGGCGAGTATAGGCAGGCTTGAGCCGCTTTAGTATTCCGAGTTGGTGGATTTCTGTTGGATGCCGAAAGCCGGAACTGTTTTCGGTTCGAACCGACCGGGATCGCCAAGTAAACAGTAAACATCAGGGTCACACCCCCCAACGACCAGGCTCTTCGCCAAACAAACTTCCCAAGCCACGAAACTGAAAGAGCTTCAAGTTTCAAGTGAGGGCTTTAGGAACGTGTAGGCTTCAAGACTCTGTTGGCAGAGGCCCCCGGCAGCAATGGCATTGCTGGCTTCAATGGAGTTGGAATACCTCAAAAACTCAACATCCAGACAGCAGGCTCTCCTCCAAATCCTAAGCCCTACCTTAAGCCGGAATAACCTATATTTTCGAGGACTTGTATAAGGAACTCATCATAAGGAACCCTAAAAAGGTAGGTTATTCAGGGTTAAGGTAGGGCTTACAACCCGAGACCCTAAGCCCTAAACCGTATAACGTAGGGGCCTTGGTCATTAGAATAGGGTTTGGGGTGTATTATACCATGAGTATAGCAAGGAACCCCCAAAATGGTACTTTTGATGATATAAATCCTGCATTACCTTAAGGACCCTTAACTATGGGAATTATGGTATGTTCCTTGTAACGAGTAATGCAGGATATAGATCATCAACCGGTTGATGATCTACATCCTGCATTACTCGTTATAAGGAACATACCATAATTCCCATAGTTAAGGGTCCTTGAGGTAATGCAGGATGTATATCATCAACAGTATTGGTATGTATTTGAGGATTTAAGGTTTAGGGATGATGGGATTCGGAGCCTCCGCAATCTGAATACTTTGAGTAGTGACTAAACTCCGAAACTGCATGTCCCTCGACATCAAACCCAGACCTTTCCAGGGTTCCTTTATGGTATTTGCACTACACATAGCCCTAAGCCACACTCTAACAATTAAGGTCCCTATAATACTAGCTTCTGATAAACTCAGAAACTTGAGCCCCAAACTCATCCTGCTCACATTATTTGAGGCTCTAGGCTGGACCCCTGGTAAACAAACCGCCTGACCTTGACAAGAAACCTACTGGTAATCCTCATTTTCAGGTTCGCAAAAGCAAAACAATAAAGAAATAAGATGGTCACAACTCAGGGCTTACATTAAGAAGGAAGCTTGCCAAGCAGCCCTACGGTACGCCGAAGTGCTGACGACACGCCCCATGAATCGAATCCCCAAGCCCCAAGCCCCAAACCACAAACCCTTAAACCCTGAACCCTACACCCCAAACCCTACAACCCCACAACCCTGAACCCTAAGCCCGAAACACATCCCGATGCCTTAAACCTCTAAAGCCCAATCCCTATAGATGCCTTGTGAAGTCTTGTATAGAACCTTTTAAGGAGAACCCGAAATTCTTCGGGCCCGGCATTGAGGGCTGGGATTCGGGGCTTCGGATTTAGGGAATGGGATTTAGGGTCGAAGCCTAGGTCTTCGGGTTTGGGGCTCAGGGTTCATGGATTTGCCAGGTTCCCCAGTGCCAGGATCGGAGGCCTCAAAAGGTGGGATGAAGGTAGGTAGGATTAAGATCCCTTATTTCAGGACTCTTATTTGCGACTATCCCACCTACTTTCATGCCACCTTTTGAAGCCTCCGACAGGAGCCCCCCCAATAACAAGGTTGAACGTTTTCCTACTGTTTCGGTGTTAGCAGGGGAAGCCTAAAAGCCAAAGCGCTAAAGGGTACCACCGGGGCCTTAGTGATAGGAATAGGGTTTGGGGCAGATTATACTATATCTATAACTAAGGAAACCCGCAATCATTATTTACGGCCTGTATACTATAGTTTATATTCTCAAAAAATACTTTTCATAATCCATCATTTTATTCAAATATAATAATAAACCAGTGCCTTATAATATTTCTCTCGCTAGTATATTAACAGGCTGCCGAGAGACCGGACGAAGGCGCAGGCCTGACCAGACTTGGACCTCAAATCATTTCGTTCCGAACCCGAAACCCTAAGCTCGACACTCTAAACCCTAAGTGTACTGTAACGAATCTGTAAGCCCCTAAACTAAAAGCCCCTGAACCATAAACCCTAAACCCTGAACGGAAGACAAACACGAACCTGCCAAGAAAGGGCAGAGGGCTTAGAATTTCGGGCTTTATGTTTAGGTCGCAGGGTCCAGGGCTCTAGGGACTCGTGCTTAGAGGCGTTTGGGTGAGTTTTTGGCCCTGTAGGCCTTGAGGAAAGATTTTGGAGGCAGGCCCTCTGTGGCATTAGCTACTTGTCGGTAGCTCGCTTGCCAGTCTCTTTCCCTGCCCCTCTCTCCCCTTCTCTCCCAGCTAGACACATAGAGACTTGAAGCCTGGTGACTTGGGCAAACGAAAACAGTGAGCCCTCACACCCAACACTCAGTCGGGTCGATTTCTGAGCACTCCCGGCAAGGAACGGTATCATCTTGATATAGTGAAATCTACTATGTCACGGTATGCCGTCTAAAGTTTCATAACTATAGTCTAGTAGAGTGTAATAAAACAACTAAACCATACTAAAACCCAAGCTGCTTATCAGGTTGGTCAACCATCGAAATCTCAAAGATCTGGCTCATGAAGATTTCGCCTGCTCTAGCGGCTCTAGCGACTCTGGCAGTAGCGCACCCAAGTTAGATGGGAAACCGCCACGAAAGATTGAACAATGTAGCAGCAGCTTTCCTTTCCTATACCCCAAATCGCCGAAACAGAAACGAAAAACCCTAAACCCAACATGCCAATCTCTCAACCCTAAATTCAAACCTCCAGGGTAATGTTGATTCAGCCCTACTCTCTCCTTTCCAACATGCAGCTCAGGAATGTCCGGTGACTTGGCTCAAAACCCGAAACCCTACTGACTGTAAACCCTTAAACCCCAAACCCCTGAACCACGCCATAAACCCTAAACCCTGAAACCCTAAACCCAAAACCCGTGATTTTCAGACACCGCGCGGACGACCTAATTTTCTTTGGCCCCGAGCTACGGCCGGATCTGCATCATTCAGATGCTCGAGGCCTCTTCGCTTTCGCCTCTGCGGCGGCTTCCTCCAGAATCTCTGCTGCATCAGTAAATCAGCAGCAGCAGCAGCAAAACCCGCCAGGTGGCGTTTTTTCCATTGGGCTTCACGCCAGGCCCTTATCTGCTTGCGCCAATCGTCAATGTTGGCGGTGCTAACCACTCCTTCGACGAGCCACATGTTGAGCAATTCAGCAAATCGCCGCCGCCTTTAGCTGTCTCCGTCCTGCAGCGAGCCTAGCTTAAAATAGTACACCTTTGTAGCCTGCGAGCTTCTGGCTTCTCACTTCCCGAGCCACCATGAGCAGACTTAATCATTTGGAGCAGGGTTTAGGGTTTAGGATTTAGGGTGTTGAATTGGAGCCCTAATCCCAAAGCCCCATAAGGAATGAGTAGTCATTTTGGATTGTAAAGGGATACTCTTACTGTTTCAGACCCGCGCATTGAGAATAATTCCCAATCCATTCTCCGCCATGAAGGCAGCGGGTTTACCCAAAGTCCCCAAAGTAGTTCCTTTTTGGGGTTCGTATATAGAATCCTACAAGGTAATCCCCAAAAAGGAACTACTTTGGGGCCTCTGGGTAGGGCTTAGGGTTTAGGAGCCAGGGAGCCTATTTCCGGAACATGATTCTGAGCAGGAGTCCGGGGCCTACCTGGGCCCCAGGGGTATTCTCCAATAATGGCCCTTGATAGGTGTGTTGGGCCTAGACCCAAGAGTAACCCAGGAACAAAAAGGGTGCCCTTTTTGGTTTAAAGGGGTTTATAAGGGAACCTGAACCCTAAAAAAGGGAACAAGGGCCTACTCTGGGTCCTAGTAGGTGTGTTGGGCAATTATTTATGCACGGCTAGGGCTCAATAAAGACCCAAAACAACGGATCCCATGAAATGGAGTATGCACTCTGTAAACGTTGAAACCTGCAACTCTCAGCCTAAATCCCAAAGCCCGACGAAACTCCCAAAGGACCTCCAAAGCCTAAACCCGAAAACACTTTCAAACCCTAAAGAAACAAACAAACAAAGTCTCTAGACCTGAAATGCCTACAGCCCTTAGACCCTAAACACCCTATCCTCTTACATCCTAAACCTCTAAACAACTATCCTGAACTCCTCAAACACCCTACGGCTCTGCTGGGCGTGAGGCTTCCCTGTCATGATGTGGATGTCTGTGACCTGCAGGAGATCTGGGTCGCACTTAGATTATAAGTTAGAAAGGGCCCCCACCCTGTAATAGCGGTATAATACGAATGTCACAGGGCCCTAATACGATCCTTGGAGTCACTATTGCAGGGTGGGGGCCCCTTCTCAGTCATACTGTACCTTGCTACATTATGATGGGGGTTTAGGGTTTAGTGTTCATATTATACCGCGCTATATTATGTTGCTTATAAAGTTTGCTGATGGTGCTTACTATGATTCTGGGAGGTATGAATACAATCGATATTAAGATTGGGCAGATGCTGATCATTTTAACTACTGTCGCTGATATCACTATTGAACCGATTGCCTGCACTACGGCCAATCATTAGTTTTGTACTTGAACAACTATGAAAGACGTTTGTTTATTCCTAGTAAGACCAGGTTCTCTAGTATGGCCAGGCCTTTACTACTGCTTGTGCCTGTTAGGATGATAGCTTCATTGGTAATATGATGTTAGACTACGGTAAACACGTAGACTTCCATACCATGCTATGCCATGACTGCTATCATGTACGACTGCCATACCATACTCTACTGCGCTGTACGGTACTGTGCTGTGCTGGACTGTACCATACGACAGTAGACTGTACTATAGTACAATACTATACTTTGCTGTACTATATTCTAATGCCATACTATTCTAGACAACGCTCTACTATGAGAGCCATGAGACACTGTACCCACATCGCACCACGTTGCACGACAGTATACGGTGCTTCACTATACCGTACTACATTACAATAAGCATGCATACATGCCTACATACACACATGCATAAGCAAGTGAACATACTTATTTGCCTCGTTATAAGTGTATAATGCTATGACCAACCATCCGTCCATCCATCCATGTAGGCATCTTTGCGATTCATTGATGCTTCTTTACATGGATGCATGTATGACTGCACTACACACGAACTATATCTTACATTGCATTACAGCATGTTGGATATCACTACACACTTTGTAATCCAAAGACTAAATGCTTGCATGCTACTAGTACATACAGTACATACATGCCAAACATTACATACACTTCATGGGTGGAACATAGTAGATACGATACGTACATGCGCACATACATACTTGTATATCTACGTAGTACATACATGCATGTGCGTATACATACATACCTGCACACATGCCTCATATGGGTACGCGCCTACGTACTTCTGTACGTATATGCACTATAAATGCTTGCGTCTGCTCGTCTGGCGTCGTTGGTATGAAGTACAATTCTGATCTCGAAACACCGTGAAGGTCCCCCCAGGCTAAACGTTCGACCCGACCCGTTCGAACCTCGCCGTACGTCTTAAAGACGACGTCCAGCGCTGCCCTCTGGATGTCGCCTGCGCGACGTAAGATCCGAGCCCTCTTGGCAACCTGATGTAGGGGCCTTTTTATAATCTAAATAAGATCTTGGGCCCAGTTTATATGCTAGATTATAATCATAACAAGGAACCCCTTTTGGGGCCCAGTATACATAATATAATCATAGCAAGGAACCCCCAAAATAGTACAGGCAGCTTTTTTGGCCCCTATAGTAAACCCTGAAGGGTGCTACAGATTCTCGATTTCGGGCTGACGGCTACCCGCAACACTGGATGCGACCGCCGATCACATGGTAAGGCCGAGATGCAGTGGTTTAGTTTAGGCTTAGGGGTTAGGGTTTAGGGTCTAGGGATTTGGGTTTGAAAACGATTGAGACACTCATCTGTTTTGCACTGGCCTTTGCATCAGTGGGTCCAGGGTTTAGGGTTGGGCTCGGGGCTCATTGCCAAAACCCTAAAACCCTAAGCCCGCAGTCCCTAAACCATCGTCCAAACCGCCGAACTCATCTCTCGAGGACTTTCCTGGGATCTCTAGATGGGTTGTCAATATTAGGGTCCCTTTTTGGGTACCTTAAAAAAAATTGGTGCCGTACTATAATAGGGTACCCAAAAAAGGGACCCTAATTTTGACAACCACCCAGATAAATCCTCGACCCTAGGAGGCCCCTAATGGAAGTTCCTTCTGTGCCGGAGCAGTAGGGTTTAGGGTTCAGGGGTGTTAGGGTTTAGGGAAGTCCCATCTGTGACGGAGCAGTATACAGTGGAAGCCAGGAAGTTGGAGCTTAATGGTCCCTGATGACATACAGAACAGGATGCTAAGTGGAACTGAATGTTTAGGGTTTAGGTTTTAGGGTTGCTGTGTCAATGGGCTCAAGTGATAAACAGCACACCCCGAACGCAGTTCTTTCCCTTGGTCATGAGCCGGCGGATACTTACCCAAAACATAATACAAACTCCTACTCTAGCATGTAGGTACTTCGGATGCTTCGGGGAGGGGCATTGCAGTAGTGCACCCGGAAAGCTTCACAGACTCAAATGACCGGGCCTGCAAGGGTACGGATGAGCCCTAATTCGGGTTTGGGGTTTAGGGGTTTAGGGTCTCCATACCTTTTGCCCCATGGTCTAGAGGGTTTAGCTTAATGCTGATGAGGATTCTGAAACCACTGCCATCTCAAATTCGCACTGATCCCGCCTGGGAGATTTCCGACGTAGAGCTTGGTGCCTGGCTGCACCCTGAACCCCAAACCTTTATCAATTCAACACTCTTGACCCGAAGCTAAACCCTTCAACTCAGCTTAGAGCCGCCCCGGCATCACGCCAAAACAAACTATGTATCCTCGTAATGAATGTCGGTCTGTATGAGTCAGCTTCGACCTATATAAGCTGACTGCCCCTCAAAAAGCAGCAGCAGTGGTGTTTAGAGGTGTTTACGTTTCTGTCCAAAAAACTGTTGGGCTCGGAGGTTGAAACAAATCTGTCGTGGTCCTCTTCGGTTTTAGGTGCTGGGGCTCTATAAGTTGGTGTAAGTTGATGGGGTTTAGGGTTCGGGGCTTTAAGGTTTGGCGTTTAAGCTGAGGGTTTCGGGGTCTAGGGTTTAGTGGACAACAATCATGGTTGGAGGCGGTCGCATGAGAACTGTGACAAATACCGTGTGACTTTCCTGCCGTTTGCGTTTAGCATCCGTCTGCGTGATGGTCGTACCCACACAGCCTGACGGTTCTACAGCTGAAGCAAAAAGATTGTTCTAAGTTCTATGCATTTCAAGGCGACCCTCAAAGGTGTTTATTCCCTAGGACCCTTGGAGCCTATGGGCTTAAACTCCGCGAAATCCGGAACCCCGCCTTAGAGGCTGAGTCATAAGCCCCAAAACACTGAAACTTTGAGTTCTGTAAGGAACATATTATCCCAAGAAGTGTAAAGTGTACTCACTCGGCTACCAAGCTCTTAAATAAAACCCTAAGCCCTAAACCCTAGTCTTAAGACTCTGAGCCTGCTTTCAACACCACCACACCGTGATCAGGAATAGCCATGCAAGACCTATGCTTGATAAGAAGCAAGGAAAGCCAAAATAACCTGAAATCTTCAACCCATGACTTTCCAGATCGTAAACCCATGCCCTAAACCCAAAAACCCTACACCCTAAACTTGACCCCATACCCTATAAGCCCTAAACCCCACACCCGAAGACGCGGAAAACGCAAGCAATATAGGGGCCTTTAACAATTAGAATCGGGTTTGGGGCCCATATGTAATACTATATACATATACATATACATATGCATATACATATACGTATACATATACATATACACATACATCTATCTATATATATATATATAAACATATATATATATATATATGTATATATAAATATATATATATAAATATATATATATATATATATATATATATATATATATAGGTAGTTAGGCCCCTTTAGTACTGGAACTCCGACCTGGAACGCCGCCATCCTTGCCGCCGCCGCCGCCTCCGAAGTTGCCCCCCGCGCCAGGCAGGTCGAAGCCTGGCCCAGACGGCTTAGTGCAGAAGAAAAAGACAACTACCTCTTTAGGCCTCTTTATTAAGGCTGCCAGCTTTTCGGGTTTAGGGTTTCGGGCTCTTTCGGATGTAGTTTGGGGCTTAGTTCAGTTTAGGGTTTAGGTTTTCGACGCTTCGGTACTGGGTCGTCGTAGGCGCCTTGCGTTGGTGTTGCATCGCGGGCGACGGTCTTGATGTTGTTTGGGCTCAGGGCGTTCTTTTGGAAAGGAAACCCTATAATACTAAGGGTCCATGTACCCAAACAGTATGCACTTTGGCCATCAAGTACACGTATGGGAACTATCCAATAAGTCTATACTACATGAGTACATGAGCCAGTAACCCGGATATGGAGACCTGGAAGGGAACCCGATTCGAATCATTAAGGGCCCCTATATCACAGAGCCCTTCGAGTATCCGACCGTTAGGGCAATGGAAGGGTAGGGGTTTAAGTGTTGCGAGTTTGCAATGAGGTTGGTCAAAGTACACTTACACCGACCCTTAACAGCCAATCAGCTAATCCCCCTTCTGCGAGCGCTTTACCTCCAACTTCACGTCCCCTCCACCCAAATTCTGAATATGCCAACCCCATCATCCCCCAAATCGAAACCCCATGCCCTGAACTGCAAACCCCACAGCCAAAACCCTTATATCAACCTTGACAAACGCCTTGAGTAAGGAAGCCTTAGCTAAAGACACCCTTAAAGGCCCTTAAGAAAACCCTAAACCCTAAACCCCAGAACCCTAAACCCCTCTAAACCCTAAGCCCCCGTACGTACCCTAAGCCCTAAAAAGATCAAACACCGGCAATCCAGCGGCCTGGGTTGGCGTAGGCGCCTGGGGGGTTTTGGTTGAAGCCGGGATCGAAGCCTCAGACAGAAAGAGGATAGGGGGGGATGCTTCGGGTTTGGGGTTTAGGGGGGCTAGGGTTTAGGGTTTGGGGTTTAGGGATTGGACTTTAGGGTTTAGGGTGGGGTTAGGGTGCGGGGTTCAGGGTTAATAATACATGAGTCCTACTATGCGGGGGATGCTTACCCAAACCAAACTACTACATCTTGCTACAAAAGCCCAACTTTCTACTGTGTAGGTACCTAGGACTCAGCCTCAAAGAGAAAGAAGATCTCAGATTCGGGAAAAGGGTGTAGGGCTTGTCTTCAAGGTTTAGGATTTAAGTTTTGTGTTTGAGTCCTGGGGTTTAGGGTTTAGGTTTACAGATGAAAGCTAGGTTTATGGATTCGGGTTTTGGGCGAAGAAGCCTCAGGGTGTCCGGAATACGGAATAGAGCTTAGGGCTTAGAGTTTACAGGGTTTGGGGTCTGAGTTTAGCTAAAGTTTCCTCCACATTTCTGAGTGATCTTTCCGAAGATGCAGCAGCACGGATTTCTACCAATTCAGGCAACTTTTAACACATAACCCATATCATATCTGACTCTTTGCTACACGGCTACATAAGAAATCACGCTGTAGCCCGAAACACTGCAGGAAATCAGGTAGAGACTCCTAGCAGACAAACAACGAGCCAAAACTGCAACCCGGTCTCTCTCTTCCTGGCAGAGCCTGAATCATGTTCTAAAACTTTGCTTGCTTTTAAGATCTCCGATTTCGCACGGCACACTTATAAGCAGGACCTCAAAAGGGACCACAGAACTACCCATGGATCAAGTTCCAAGGAGCCTCCTTTTCCGAAATTACCTCCTCCCTGGCCGCCGTCACCTTTGCCTGCGAGAAGTTTGGGGGTTCATTTCGAGGATGCCCAGTAACCTCGGAATAAAAAGGGGCTCCCTTTTTGGCATTGGGTAACTTTATATATTTAATATGGAACCTAGGGCTACAAAAAGGGAATAAGGGTAGTACTGGGCATCCTCGTCTTTTGGCTTCTTCCAGGCGAGGAGTGCAGGGTGAGGTCATCAAGGGTTTAGGATTAAGATAGGGTTTAGAGATGTAGGATTACGGTTTGGGAGTTTAGGGTAAAGGGTTTAGGTATTTTAGGTTTAGGGTGTAAACAGGGTTTAGAGATTTAGGATTACGGTTTAGGAGTTTAGCGTAAAGGGTTTAGGGAATATAATAAACCCTAAATGAGACCGTGGTGTTGGGATGCTACTTTACGGGCCTGGGCTGAAGGCCGACGTAAAGCAACCAAGGTACCAAGTTCTTAGGGTTTGGATGACTTCCTTGCCTTAGGGGTACCTTGGCTACTGTGCCATCATAAGGCGCCAGAGTAGTTCCTTTTTGGGGTTCATATCTAATCTTATGAGCTAATCCCCAAAAGGAACTACTATGGGGCCTCTGGGTAGATACATCCTGATCCTTCGGCTTAGCCTTTCGGCTGAGGCCTGAGCTCATGGTCTGCACCTCAATCTAAAGCTCTCCCAAATTCCTTAAACCTTGAATGCTGACATGTATAAGCACTATGACATACTCGACATCTGTACACATGCAAATACGTAAGCACAGAGACACGGACATGCGCACGCACGCACGCACACACACACACACTGACACTGGCTGGGAATCCCAGATCTGGTGCAGGATACAGTGTGTGCTCTTAGGGCTTAAGTGTTCGAATCTCTTGTCGGCCACCAAAGAACCCCAGAACAAAGCAACCTCCCCACCGTCCGAGTTTTCAACACGTGACCCGGGTTTTGAGGGATATCATACTGAAACAAATCCTAAACCCTAAACCGTTTCTGAAACTGGGTTATCATACTGAAACTGGGTGTAGCTACAAAGGGTTATAGTAGTATGCCCCAAACCGTTTGACCTTGAAGGCCACACGACAGAAGGCCACCTCCACCCCTTGGTCTCGCCATGCTGACGTGGATTGGCTCGGGCGCGCCTTCGCGAAACCTTGCGGGAGATACAAGGGCTTTGTGGGATGCCTTTCGATTGGACTGATGATGCATGGCAGTTTAAGAAATGCTGTTCTGGTGGGACCTTACCTTCATGGCTAGAGCTTGCCAAGGGTGTCAGGAATAGGATCACAAGTTGTGAAGTCTGCAACTGCTGCTGACTCCTGACAAATCTTGGTCCATGTCCTTCTGCCGCAGTTCTCCCTCCCAAAAGCTTGGTCCATCTATTGCCAGGCGACAGCTCGCTCGCAGAAAGATGCCGAAACACTTTGCAACAGCCCTTGCAAATTGTGCAGCAGTCGTGCGCAAACGCTCTGAGCCGCAAGCTTATAGACATTGTCTAGGACTTGCCTCAGCTGGCTTGCTCGGAGGCTGTGAGTGTGGGTTGTGGGTCAGCCATACGTTGGATCTGAGGGTTCTATCTATGCTCGGGTTTGTTCGGGCTTCGTCAAGGGGCCCTGTCCTTAGCAAGCTGCGCAACCTAGGTCATATCCTGGGTGCGTAAGAGATTTGATTCGAATCCTTCCACCTTTATACCTGCTCTTCTAGACTTCCAAAAACCGCGATGTGTGGGCACCCACACACACACACACAAATCTCCATGAGATGATGAGGTGAAGCAGCAAAGATGTGTGTGTGTGTGTGAGCCATGCAGCAAAAAGGAGCGTATTGATCGTATCCACCTTTTTTGCACGGTTCATCATTGAAGAAACGAAGCTCGGGGAAAGCATCCGTACTGACGGTTGGAGATTTAGAGATTGGGGTTTACGGGTGAGGGTTCCAGATCCTGCAGTTGCCAAAGTCAGATATCTGTACTATAAAAACCGCTAGTTTAGGGGGCTTTAAGGTTATGCAAAATGTCCTGCGTCAGCATGTAGCATGACTATCCAGATCAATGCAGGAACCCTGCGAGGCAGGCTCACGTAGTAGGAGAATATCCAACCCAAAGGGTCCATATACACTGCCATTATGGAATAAGGCCCCAGAAGACCATCCCAATAATGGTTCTGGGGGACCTAATTCCAGAGTAGTAGTACATATGGACCCGCTGGGCAATAGGGTCAATAGGGCTTCAACCATGAGGTTTGAACGGCAAAAGCAGTGCAAATTCTCTGACCAGGTTGTGCGGGTCCTATACTCTAAACCCTAAACCCTCGATAAACCCTAAGCTTACCCTCTAAACTACTAACCCCAAAGATGCTCAGGGCAGTCCCGGTGACTGAGCCGATCTGGCTGCCTGGCGAAGGAAAGAGGTGGCTTTGGTAATAAGGAGCACCTAGTTATCATTATTGGCTTAACCAATTCTATATTCGGGATCCTATAAGGCAAACCCGAACAGGAACTACAATGGAGACTCTAGGTAAGGCAGGCCTTTTTGCTCTGAGGGATTTCTTTGATGTGCCATGACGTTCCTTTTCTCCAAAGCGCGCAAGGGATCAGGGCTTAGGATTTGGTAGGGACTGGCATCTAAGTAACGGGTTTAGGATGTCGTAACCAAAACTAATGTACCCTACCTGAAAGTGTGATAGCCACGTTGTTTGTAGTGAAGACGCATATAGAACTTACAACGACTCTACAAACATGTAGGTTTTGGTAGGTTCCCCCAAACCCTAAACCTTGTAACCCTACAATCCTGAACCCTAAACTTAAACCCTAAGCCGTAATCCCCAAACCCTGTAACTAATGAAAGCCGCAGACCCAACGAAGTCTGCGATGTCCCGAGGCCTTGGCACTTTCAAACCCTCAAACCGGACCGCCGCACTCCACTTCAACTTCAACCGAATCTGGGTTTTCAAATTCATGGTATGTAAGAGGCTCCTGATATACTACCATTATGGAGTTAAGTTCCTAGAAACCATAATCAAGATGGCTTTGGGGGACCTAATTCCATAATGGTAGAATATGAGGAGCCGCTGGGTGTATCATAATATGGCATTATGCATATTATGTTGTTTGTCGCTTAGCATATTTCGCATGCTTCAAGCAAAGTTTCAAGGGTGATGTGCTACGATTGGATTTATGAGAGAAAGTTGCAGCGATACTGCTACTACGTAGTAACCTGGGTCTCTCTGTTGCTTAAGCCTGGCACCCCAACCGCTGGCTCTCCAACGGCTCTGGGCTGCGAGCTTTGGGATTGCCAAAGTTCGTAAGGACTTGGAGGCACACCGCATTGTCCGAACTCTCGGAGCACCGAGCTTGTAGACAAGTCCGCATCGGACGCTATCGTGTTGGACTTCACAACCTTCATCGTCGTCAGCTTGTCTTCCGCCAATCGGAAGATCGCACGCAAATCGGAACCGTCGGCTTTCTCCTGATTCATCTTCTTCATGGTGGCCATGTGATGTGCCGCCGCAGGTTTAGCTTCTTTGTCTCGCTGTCTCTTGGCATCTTTCTCTGCTGCTGCAAGGCTCGCGACATGTTTGGTAACATCGAAGCAAGGCTTCTTCAAGGATGTCTCCCCCCCTGTGCTCTGAGGCGATACTACGGTATATGATTGGTGAGTTGTGGGGGGTATCTGCTGTATATGCATATGCCTTATTTGAGCGGTATTGGGCTCATTGCAATCAAAGTTGGGGGGAGGCTCTGCAATGGTGCAAGGCAGGGATGAAGACTGAACGTAACAAAGCCCTGTAGGCAGGTTTAAGGATTAGGGTTTGGGGGTTTGAGGGTTAGGGTTGAGGGTTTAGGGGCTTCGTGCGTAGGATTTGCGGAGCTGACAACCAAGCCTGCGCCCTCAAGCCACAGCTAAACCCTCAACCTCGAGCCCGAACCTCGAGCCTTCCACCTAAATGGGTGGTTGTCCAACTCAGGGTCCCGTTTTGGGGAACCCTAAATAATAGGTGCCGTACTATAATGGGGACCCAAAAAGGGACCAGAATTTTGACAACTGCCCAAATCGCTAAACTCTATAAACTGTATAAAGCTCAAACCTTAAGAAAGCAAGCGTCCATATCCGGGCCAAGCCTGAACCCTGCATGAACCCTGAACCCAATTCCCTAAACCCTAAACCCGGTTCCCTAAGCCCTAAACCCTAAACCCGGTCCGGTTCCCTAGGCCCTAAGCTGCCACCCAAGGAAAAGCCTCAGGGGTCTCGTAGATCACGAATCCACATCTCTGACCCGGCCTGATAGGGTCTAGGGTTTAGGAGGGGGTTTCTGAGAGTTTAGGGTTTAGGGTAGTAGGGTAGTAGGGTTTAGGGCTTACCTTAGGTTCCTTTAAGGGATCCGTTAAGTGATTTTATCATGGAGCGAAAGGGATACTAAACTTACCTTTGGTTGGTAGGGAATGGAGGAATGGGGGTACAATGATAACAACCATTACTACCATTCTTCCATTCCCTACTAGCCAAAGGTCAGGATAGGGTTTCTTTCGAGTTTTACAGGGTTATACAAAGTTCTTATGGGGCCAATATTCCGAGCGATGTTTTGCGGCGTACTCGATTTCTCTTCACAACTATACCTTAGTCACAGTGAGAAACCCACCAATGATGATCAGAGCAAATTTAGAATATGATGCGACCACTTCTACAAGCAGTAGCACGGTTACTTGCACGCAGTATAAATAATGACTTCGTCAACAGGACTGGCATGACTCTCATGTCCATCGTTGCGCGTATTGGTAGTCCTGCTATTGTCATTATTACTGATGGTGTTCTGGCTATCGAAAGGGTGAACAGTTCGAAAGCGGTGTAACATGGCTTTCGCTGGATACTATAAGCTAAGGGCGTAGGATTGAGGGAGGCTAGGAATTCCACGCAGAAAATATCCAAGCCTTTAAGGCTTAGGGGTTTAGGGGTTTGTGGTTGAGGGTTTGCGGGAATGGGATTTTAATGAACCCAAAACCCTAAACGCTAAACCCTGACCCTGAGCCCTAACCAAAGATCCGAGCTGAGGCTCGATAAGGCTTGGTGGATGGCTAAAGGCTCTATCACGCAAAGGGTCCTAAGCACCTGTGCAGGGGGGTACTTACCCAACACAGAGTGTTAATTCCTACTGTGGAGATTAAGCTTTCTACTAAGTAGGTACTTTGGATACTTTGGGCAGGGCTTTGAAGAGAGTTTCGTGGCTCAAGGGTCCAGTGCAGGCCTTGTTGATCTTGTTTTCAGGTTTAGGCTCTAGGGTTAGCATTTAGGATGTGAAACTTAAGGCTAAAGGTTTGTGCTGGAGAGTTCAACCGCTTCACTTAAGAACCGACTCGTCCGCCTGGAACGCTCCGGGCCGAGCATCACGACCTGCACGAAGGTGATCGAAACTGGAACTCTCAGAAACCGAATTACCATGGGGCTTCTGCAAATTTCATAGGTTGTTCTTAAAGGCTCCTCTAAAACTCTCTTATCTACATTCTTCTCCAGGGAGACAGCATGCTAATGCTATCACCTGACCGTGCATCCAGAAGTCAGAAGACCCTAAACCCCTAAACCCTAAAACCCTAAGCCGAAACCACCCGAAAGCCGAGAGCCCTAATACTAGACCTGAACCCGGACCGCATTTCGGTCTTTCAGCACCCAAAGGGTCCAAGAAGGGTATAGTAGGCTCTTGGCAAATATTCGGGCCCTCAACGCATAAACTATACTGTACGTTACTTAGACCCGTAGAATAAGTTGAAGGGAATGTCGGGGTATATTCTAGTATGATAACGGTTTGCACGAAAAGGTTCCAATATGGTTCAAGGCTCTGGCGCTTCTGGGAAAGGGCATACCAGATGGAAGCCTACCTATAGGCTCCATTATTGTTCCTTTTTTGTGGCTACCTTTTGGGATCCTGGCTATAGCTTTTGTTAAACCCCCAAAAAAGAAGTGCAATGGAGACTATACCCCAAGAGTCCATGTACCCAAATAGTATATACTTTGGCCCCAATGTACCTACATAGGGACTACTTTAACGCCCAAGTATACACTATTTGGGTACATGGACCCTTAGGGGTAGGTAGGCTCTAAACTCCTCGGTCCGGGCGCTTCCCGAAAAAAATCCCGGCAGCTGGCGGCCTCGAATGAAGAAGGATTCGGAACCAAAACAAAAATGTCTGAACTGACCAGAGAACCCTGCATAATGTAGAAGCCAGCACAATGAGTAAGCATTCTTGCACAGCTCCTTGCTGCCATCATACTACTACTTAATTCTACCTTCAATAAAACCCCAGCCCTAGTCTAACTAGTAAGGCCCTCGGATCATGCCTCCTGAACTGTGCCGTATGTGTTGAAGACGATTCTTATCTCGTCCTCCCGGATGTCCTGCAGCTCTGCATTTCTCAGTTCTGGGCTGCCCTGAACTTATAAATCTTAAGCCCTAAACCTGAAACCCTAAACCCTAAAAGGTTACGGTCGCCCTACACTCAATCTCTCACGCCTGAGACGCCCAAACACCCGGCACCCCCAGCAAACCTTCAAGAATACAGGAATTGCTACTATCAAGGGACATAAGGGCTCTACCCGGAACCCTCGAACATATACGTTGGGCTCTTAGAATCTTAGGCTTAGGGTTTGGGGTGAAGTGAACCTCGGATTCAGGGTTGGTGTCGTAGGGCTTAGGTGTTGGTTTAAGTCTAAGGTTCAGGTTTTGCTTTATGACCCAGGAATTAAGTTGTGGGATCATGCGTTCTTGCCAGCCCCATGCTCCAAACCCCGAGGCCCCAAGCCTTGCATGAACCCTGGGGCCCCAAGCTAAACCCGAAACCTACAAACCCTAAACCGGATAAGCGCCAAAGTAGCCCCAAGGCCCTGTAGAATCAGCTCTCCTCCGGCATTTTCGCCACGAATAATTTCCGGCCATCGGTGTCCATCCCTGGAACTGCTTCACAGCGGGCTAGACTTAGGGGAGGTTCCGTGGTTTGGGTTCGAGGTTTGCAGGAGCCTGTACGGTCTATACGGTTGGTGATATAAATCCTGCATTACCCATAATAAGGAATATACCATAATTCCCATAGTTTAGGGTCCTTAAGATAATGCAGGATTTATATCATCAACCGTAGGGCTTCTAGGGTTTACAGTAGAAGCCAGAAAGTTGGAATATCATTATCGTAACCCCTTTAATAAGGTAAATTATGAGGTATCCTACCATTAATCCATATTCCAACTTTCTGGCTTTTACCTTAGGGTACAAGGTCGGGAGATGAAAAGGAGCCACTAGTCAGAACAGCTTCTCCGCTGGATGCGGCATTGGCACCAACTTTCTGGCTTCTGCCTGGCTTCGCCATGGGGTTGAAGTCGGCGAAGTTAGCATCCAACACACGAAGGGCTGGGCTGGGCTCGGGGATAGGTGCTGGGCTGGCGGCGTGGTTCAGAACGGAGAGGTCGACCAAGCAGCACGCTCCAGAAAAAAAGGCGAACGCATGAACCACACTGATTAACAGGCCTAAATGTAGGTCAGGACTTGAGGCAGTTTTCGTTCTCCCAACTTGCTCTGCTTGGTCTCCGAATGTCATGACTCGAAGTCATCGGAGACACCTATCCCAGAGCCTGAAACGTAAAGCCTAAACTATCTTTACAAACCAAGAAGACTCATAGCAACAAACCTATGACTGCATGTCCGCCCGCCCGAGCCTGTCAGACTTCTTAGGCTGAAGCTCGAAGGCGATTTCTGCCGTAATTACATGTATTGGGCAACCCTCTGTACAGTTTACAAACCCTGGGGAAGTCTACTGGTTGTCACTGGGTCCACTTCCTTGGGGACTTTCATAGCCCTAATGATCCTAATGTAGAACCCCACCTATGCGGATCCTCGCTTACATGGGCCCATGAAGAAGGTACGATGGACAAAATCCTGCATGACTCCATGACCCTAAGGACTCTAAACTATGGGAACTATGATATATTCCTTAAAAACGGGTAATGCAGGATTTTGTCCATCAACAGTACCTCTGAAGCCCGTAATATTCAGCTCCGGAGAGTCCCTTAAGCAAGAAGACGGTGCAGGCTCAAGGTTTAGAGTTCACCTATAGTCGCCATTGTAGTTCCTTTTTTTGGTTATCCAAAATCTCTATTATGGGATCCTGGCCAGAAAACTGGATAACCAAAAAAAGGAACTCCAATGGAGACTGTAGGTAGGCTCGAAGGGTTTAAGGGCTTGACTTAGGGTTTCGGGTTTTGGACACAGCCAAAGCAACAGCGGAAACACACAGCCCGAACAAGAAGAGATTCGACGTGGAGCCCCCGAATAAGCACTAGTCAATACTGCTAATGTATATAGAAGACGAGTTAAGCAGACCTCACACTTGTTTGAACTTCAATATCATACTTGCATGAAATTGAATACCCGTAGCCTAAACAAACCCCTGCACCCCTAGCTTGAACCCTCAGCCCTAGTGCCTGCGGGGCGCTTGCCACCCTCGGGCGGAAGGGGGCGCCCTTTCGACCTCCGAATGCCCCCCCTGTTTTTGAGCCGAGAAGTACCGAACAGGATTTAGGGTTTAGGGTAGGGTTTGGGGATTGTAGAGTCAAGGGCAAGGTGTACCAATGCAAGGGCGCCCGGGGTCTAACACCACTTGTGCTTAATCCGCGAGTTTACAGCAGTCTAGGCTGCTAAGCCTGTGGTCGAGTTCCACAGTGGAAACCGAAAAGTTGGAACATCATTCTACTCGTGCCCCTAAGGTCTGGCAAAGGGAATCCAAGCACTAATCATCCTTCATCCATACTTTCAACTTTCAGGGGTTCACTATCATTGGAAGGGTTTCGTGAATCTTGGGATGTTGCTCGCGAACATGCGGAATGCTAGTGTTCAAGCTTGTCTGCCCATGCAGGGGTTTTGGCCTCAGGGTTAGGGTTCAGGGCCGGGGTTTAGGGATGGCTGCCCCACAACGTAGGTGAATCCGGGACCCGCAGACAGCACAACCTCTTCCACAGTGAGGGATACGCTAGCCGGGCCGTCGTTCAAGCTGGACCCAGCCACAAACCCTAAACAAATCTACCTTTTTGGGGACAATATTCAATAGTAGAATGTGACCTCTCGGTAATGGGTCCTATAGCTAACAAGGCAGCTTGTGGGACCACTTCTGCTAGGAAGCTATGAAGTAATCCATCGTCCTTATACTGTGCGAAACGTGCAACAGAATAATCCCGATAAGGACCTCAAGGAGCCCATAGAACCCACAAGGACCTTAAGGAGCCCTAAGCCCAAACCCAAACTGCACGCGCCCGCTTTTCTGCGTCTAATTTGGGGGCTGCTCCACGATCCATGCTGCGGCGGCCTCAACGGTCGAACATCGCCTCAGGCTTCGGCCCCTCAACCGCCTTTAGAGTCCAGAGTTTAGGATTTACTCTTAGCTACCATATGACTAGACCTGAAGTAACTCTAAACCATATTATGAATCCTAAAACCCCAAATTAAAGTCTTTAAGCTACCATATGACCATATCCTACTACTACAAACACTGATATGAATGTCTAGGAACCCTGCAAACATCCAGTCTTGGTAGGGAAAGGTAGGCCTCATAATCAGGCTTTTGGGCCCTAAACCCTAAACCCTAAACCCTAAACCCTAAACCCTAAACCCTAAACCCTTCAGGCCTTGGGTTCGGTGCAGGGTTTTGGGGCCCGAACCCCGAAATCCTCCGTCGTGGGGCTCTTGTGACGACGTTACGAAGGGAGGTCGGGACTGAACCATCCACTTCAGACTGAAAGCGCTAAGCGATCTAAACCCTAAAACCCCTAAACCTGAACCCTTAAGAGTTAATTAACTCTACACCATATAAGGCTCATGAATCCTAAAACCCCAAATTAAAGTCCTGAAACCAGAAAAAACACGCAAAGAGGCCGCAAGACAACAGGAACCAATGAAGGCTACAAAACGACACCTGGGAAGCCCAAGTAGAACCCAAATCCTGAGCATGCAGGCTTAGGATAGTGGGCGAACCGTGGACACCATAACGGAGCCTTCATGATTCGAATAGCTTTTTTCCTTGGTGGAAGGGTATATTCAAGTATACTAACAACCGGCTATACTATAATTGAAGGAATTGGATACTTAAAGTAAGTACACACTCAGGTCTCAAATCACTATGGGTATTTGTACTTGCCCTGCTAGATAGTAACCCTGACAGGAACCCATAGTAACCCCTGTCAGTAGCAGCAGCGTCCGTTTATTGCGAACGAGCTATCTTTTGAGTTCGTTGTCGCGGAATGCTAGCACATGGCACATGCTTGTGCAGAAAGCAGCTTTATCAATTCATCCTGAACCGTTCCACATGTACCTTCAACCTGTCCAAATCGAATTGCCCACCAACGAACAGAATCCCTGCGTTGAATGAGGGTCTCAGAAAAAGAGACACAACCGCACACCCTAAGCACAACCTCTTCGCAGGATCTTTGAGCGAGGAACCACGGGCTGCAAGAAGCCCCTTGCCCCTAACCCTGAAACCCAACACCTGAATCCTAGACCTTCATCCTTAATCGTACGAGCCCTAAACCCTGAACCCTAAACCTCACACCGCAAACCCGGAACCCTAAACCCTGAACCCAGAAGCCCATATCCTGAACCCTAAACCCCAGCCGCGGCCCGACACCCGGACCACTAAAAAAATTCTTGGCATCCCAGCTTGAAAGCTTCAATCGCGCTGTTCTCGGTGAAGCCTCGAGGAGCAAAGGAAGCTTTCTCAAACAATGCAGGGTTTCGGGGTTTCGGGTGGAGCGGACCGGGGTTGTTGCGGAAGTATGATGACATATTGCCTCTTAACGGCCTACCGTTGCAAACCTGTTACAAACTCTTAACCCCCCCTAAACCCTGAACCCTAAACCCTAACCCTACATCCCCCCCGGCTCGATGAAGGAGATGCTTAAGGGCTCTCGTTTTCTCGGGTGTTTGTAAAGCCTTTACAAACGGGGCGTGGGGTTTCTGTATGTTCGACGTCATAGAAGATTTGTAAACCTTAACCTACAATAACCTACCTTTTGGTAGTGTGGGTTTAGGGTTTGCGGTGTTGCTGTTGCAATCGAATCACTGCAGGATTAGCTATGAAGGACGCGGCCAGCGGGGCTCCTGCATCCACCCCGCCTGCCAGCATTTGCCGGCGGCATCTCCTTCAACCCTCCACCTTTCGATTAAAGGCCCTAAACACTTAACGATCAAGGCCACGAGATCCCAAAATATTAAACCCTATAAAGCCTTACAACCAAACCTCGCCGCCCTCAACCCTTTACGGCCTCCAACTGCAGCCCTCAAGGCCTCAACCTTTGCTCATCCTGGGAGTCGGGCGGTTACGCCTGTATGGTCAATGTAACGCACTTGTTTTAGGCTAGCAAGGAACCAGAGGAGAGGTTTCCAAGCAAGAGCGACACCCTAAATAGTGTGTGACTCAACCCTATACGCCAGCAGACCACGACGCCCCTGAATGATCAGAGGGTGCACGTCCTGAACAAACACAGGTTCAAAGTATCGTAATGTGTGTGTATATATATATATATTTATTTATTTATTTATATATATATATACACATATACAGATGTGCATATATATATATAATATAGATAGACATATAAATGGCTTATTACGAACTACTGCTACTAATCTACTCAGCCTAAAGATCCCATACAGACTCACACAGTGCGACTGAGGCAATGTCCCATTCCGACCAAGGTGGCAATGTTGGCGGCTTCTCCGGCTGCAGCTTGAGACAGGATCTGCACAGATCGGAGGGGAGTCTCCGAAAATAGGGGGCCCTAATATAAAACCCCAAATAGTAGGATCCTTACTATAAGGAGAGTATCTGCACAGATCGGAGGGGATGTGGTAAGTTATTCAGGAAACTATGTTCACAATGCCGTGATGTGGTAAGTAGGGTTATAAGAAAGGAAACTAATTATTTACAATCCAGCGACCAAATTCTGATTATGATCAGCCACAGTACGGAATTGATAACTCATAACCCCCAACTGAGGCAATCTCTACCAAGCAGGGGTGTACCAGGCAGGGCAACAAGCAAAAGGTTGCGCTTGACAGTTTAGGATTTGTATGGTTTGGGTCTATGTTTAGGGCTTAGGGTTTAAGGTGAACGTTAGGGGCTCCTGTGTTTGAACTCATTCTCCGCGAAGCAGGCCACAATAAACGTACACTCTGGGGTGTAGAGCAAGTATAGGGCTCAGGCTCAGGTGATAAACATGAAGCCAGGCGAATTCCGTGAATCGTAAGTATAGCTTGACAAGCAGTGTCGTCTGTTATGGGACTGTGTCTAAGACGTCCTTCATCTTTGCTTGCAGATGCAGCTGCGATACCACAGAAAATATGCCCATCACGTATGAAGTCAACACTGCAGAACCCAAAGCAATACATTCCACTTGTGTGACGCTTTGAACTCTCGAACGAAGTCTGACATCCAGACCCTCAGCAATCTTGTCGGCTTGCAATGGATATCCCGTTTAGGCTAGTTGTTGCATGAGACAAGCCTACTGCTGCCTGTCTGCCATCGATCAGACTTGTGTCTTACAGTACGTGTGTTGAACAGGGGTGAATAAGCCGGGTTGCCACGAAGGTGAATAAGCCCAAGTATTATGAACAGTAAGATACCTTACATCCCGATTTACTCTAAAGTACGATCGACAACTCTGTTGCAGACGCTTTACAGGAAGAACTACGTTGCACCCCACTTCGTCTCTCTCTTACGCCCCAGCACGAATCAAAATCGATAACTGAAGCTGAGGGTACCAAGCTTCGAAAGTTGACAAGTTCTTCTGTTGAATTTTGACCATCTTATCCCTTTCAATCCTGTGAAGACGTATATAAGAGCCTGCCCACTGCCGCCGGCGCCACTGCTGGAGCCACTGTCGGCCTCGAGTGACGATGCTGAAGCAGCCAAAGCGGAGTGCTTTTGAAATTTGATCTCGGATGTCATCTGTAGCAAAAAAACTTACGCATGGTTTTCGCTTACCTTGGGTTCCAAAGGTAGATCTTCCATGCTCCGCCCTAGGTTTAGGGTTTGGGGTTGATGGTGCAGACGCAAGAAAACGCAGACGGATGCATAAATGGCATACGCAATGCTTGCGGTGTGGTCAGGTTCTACCCACGTAGCATGAGCTTATGCTTTTGAGCCCTCAAAAAACGTCAGAAGAGACATCAGATTGCAGAACCAAGCATATCCTGGATCCCTAAACCCTAGACGCCTAAACCCAAGCCCCTGAACCGAACATTCCTAAAACCCAAAAACCCTTAGCCCTAAACCTGCAAATCCTAAACCAGAAACCACTAACAAAAACAAAAGCCTAAAACGTGTAAACCCTAACCCAATAAAGCATAATGCTTAAACCAAAAACCTGCAAACCCTAGCCGCTAAACCGAAAACAACTAAGCCTGAAGCCGAACCTTGTAAAACCGAAACCGCCGAAGACGCAAGTTGAAACCCTAAACCTGCAATCCCTAAACCCCTAGACCGAAAACAAATAAATCCAAGAGGCTAAACGAGTAAACCCGGAACCACTCAACTCGTAAAGCTTAAACCTGAACCTGCAATCCCGAAGAGCCCAAACCAAAAATTGCCAACCTTCGACAAAAGCAGCTCGACGACTCTGAAAGGTTTAGGGTTTGGGGCTAACTACGGAGCGACGATCCCGTCCAGAACCCTATACAACAATTAAGCCCCCCGAAGCAACACGGTACCCGAGTTGCTGAGCTCACAAGCCCCAAAAAGTGTACGCTTTCAGTTTTATAGTGGGTAATATTATTCCACAAAGTGTAAAGGGTATCCACTCAGCTACTAAGGTACAAACCCTGGCGGGGCCATACGGAACCCTAAAACCCACCCTTCCAGGTACCCTGCTGCTCGGGTGGAGTCAGTGGCATTGGCTCCTGGCCAGAGGATCCGCTTGAGGCTCTCTGCAGTGACGGCTTAGGCTTTAGGGCTCGGCTTTACCCTAAACCCTAAACCCTAAACCCTCTTCTTAAAGGTCGTATGTCGGGCCCCCAAAAGCCGAAAGCCCCAACATCGTCAGCACTCCAAACCTGGAGCCTCCCCAACAACAACCCAAAGCCCCAAAATAATTACAAAAAAAAGGAAAGAGGCTAGGGATTTTCAAACTGTGAGTTGAAGATCAGCTTAGGGTTGAGGGTTTAGGGTGTCCCATCGCACGGCGACAACCAAGAACACAAAAGCCTCAAAGCGCGCACAAAAAAGCACAAAACTACGAATATCACCCGCATCAGCAACTGTAACAACCTACAACAACCAGCAAAGAACGGGCTAACCACCCTTGACACAAGTACGACCCTGTACACGCACACACACGAACAACACACAAAGACTATACTAATTCGGGAATAGAAACCCTAAACCCTAAACCCCTAATCTCCCAAACAGAACCTAAGCCCCAGAACCCGAACCCCCCAAACCCAGGCTAAACTGGCCTTCGAAGGTCTGCCACGGCTTCATCCGAGGCTGAGGGAAGTTTCCTGGCGCCCCTGGGCCAGGACTGGGAAAGGCGTTTTGAGGGTTTAGGGTTTGCAGGCTTCGGATTTAATTAGGGTTTCGGGTTTTGGGGTTTAGGTCTAGGGCTTCCTGAGGCGTACATTCTTTAGAGTTTAGGGCTTAGCGCGTTCTGAAGCACTTGGGATTTTGGGCTTAAGACTTGGGGCATTCTAGGGCTTGGGGTTGGGAGGGCTTTCGGGATTTTCCGTGTGCTTGTACTTGTGGCTTAGTATATAAGGATCGCTAAGGGCTTCCGATCACTTTCGAGTCTGTTTGCTTATAGTTTATGATTTTTGAATCGGGTGACGGAATTGTACTATGGTCGTGGATCTAACGGTCTATCTTCCCAAAATTGGATTTTGGCTCGAGGCTTGGGTGATCGCTTTGCGTTTCCTTGAAACAATCAATAGGATCCAGAGATTAACCCCCAAACCGAAAACCCTACCCACACAGACTTAACCCAATATAGAACCCTTGCGAAAGCGTTGGAGGAGAGCCCCAAAAAAACAACTGCAACCAAAATCACACCACTGGCATCCAAGGGCGATGCAAGCCCAATGAGCCCTAAACCAGCCAATGTCAGTGTTCTACCCTACACCCCTACACCCAAGAAACCCCTCAAACCCTAAACCCTCAAGCAAGGTTGGGATGTCGCCAGATAATAAAGAGATGCCTGGTGGGTTCGCCGGGATTCCTGCGGAGAGAGCTCGCCCAGAGTTTTTTTGTTGGTGGTTTTGGTTTCTAGTATTGAGGTGGGTTTCGGGCTTTAGGCTTGAGGCGTGGTTTGAGGTTTGAAGGATTTATGTAAAGGGCTGGGGGGTCAGTTGCTCCGGGTGGCTTCGCTGATCTTGGATTTCACGTGCCTTCGAGATACTGCAGTGGGCACTTGAGGAGCCTGTGGGACGGAACCCTGGGCATCAAAATAGCCCAAAACCCTTGTATAGATATTATGGTCTTTGCGCCCAAAAGCCGTAATATATGAGTCCTTAGATGCCAGGGGCAGACAACTGACAACAACGAGGTAAAAATGCACAAGTCTTGCGTTTTCGTTTAGGGTTTAGGGGTGCAGGCTTTAGGTTTTCGGGGTTTAGGGGTTTGGGTGCTTCGAGCTTCGGAGGTCGGGTGTGGAACTCCCAATCCAAGAAAGGCTCTTCGAGCAGAGCACGGCTTCAGGCAGGTTGGGGAGCAGAAACTCGGGCCTTATGAAGGGGTCTGTAAGGGTTACTATAAGGTTATTTGTTAGTAGGGAATGGAAGAATGGTAGTAATAGTGGTTGTAATTGTACCCCATTCCTTCCTCCATTCCCTACTAACCAAAAGTAAGGAAACCCAACCGTTCTGGTGTCATTACACAAAACTTATAATAAGGAACCCCAGAGATGTTAGGCCCCTAATAAAGCAAATCCTTATAGCCCTTATAGACTACTTTGAAAGAAATCCAACCGTCCGGGTGTCACTATACCATAAGAAAAGGAACCCCCAACATATCAGGCCCCTAATATATTATGACTTTATGACTTATAGTATTACTACAAGGAACCCACCCAAGATACTAGGCCCCTATACTATATCCTTATGATCGCCCTTTCAGGCTACTTTAAAGGATCCTTAGTCTAAGAAAAAGGGCCCTATATTGAAGGAACCTGCAAAATTTTCGGCCCCTATAATGTATACTGTGTCCTTATGATAGCCTTTAAAGACTGCTTTAAAGGATCCTTAGTCTAATTGTTAAGGCCCTATATTCGCCCCACAAGTCACAGGGCTATCGCCTCCTGGTGCTGAGCGCTTCTCCGGGCTGCTAACCTAAGGGAGCAGCAGAACGGTTTAGGGTTTCGGGTTTAGGCTTTAAGGGTTTGGGGTTTGGGGGTTTGGGGTTTGGGGTTTAGAGGTTTAGGGTTCAGTGTTTCAGATTGTCTTACATCGATATCGGGTTGCAGAGTCAAGCTCGTCATCATACCAGACTCCTCGTGTCTAAAACTCCCATTCCGTCTCTCGCTTCGTGATTTCAGGGTTTACAAGGAACTTTTCGGATTTCAGGTTTGGGTTTGAGGAGATTCGGATTCGGATTTGCATGGATTCAGGGCCGAGGCTATAGAGTTCCGGGATGTTTACTATCTTATTGTCGGCAAGTCCCACTGGGTAATATAGGGGCCTTAATAATTAGAACAGGGTTTTGGGGCCCATCATACGATAATCATAATAAGGACCTCCCCCAAACAAAATCGTATAGGTAATTCTTGAGGCCCCTGTAGTAAGTAAGGTTCTGCAGGTCTTCGATGCATCTCCGAGTCCCTGAGTCCCTGCTCTTCCTGGAGATGGTTGGGTTTCTTAGGAATAACATTCCACTGGGCATCAAACTAGACCAAAAGCCTCATATGGTATGGTCTTTGGGCCCAACAGCCTTATATAGTATGGTCTTTGGGTCCAAAAGCCTTACTATATAAGTCCTCAGATGCCTAGGGTTCGGCCATGATATTAAGCTTGGGGTTTAGGGTTGAGAGCAAAGGGCTTAGGATATCAGGCTAATTGTATCTATTAAGATCTATCTAGCACATCGTCTCTCTCTCTCTCTCTCTCTCTCTCTCTCTCTGTACGAATAAACGCGGTCTACACCTGCTATCCTGTATTGCTGGTATATATGCATGTAAGTGCGTGCATGCGCGAAAATCTTACAACTGCCAGCCGTGCCCCGACCCAAGGCAGCCCAAACTGGTACCTCAACCCTCATATCCGATACCGAATTCAGAAAAAGGACCAGATGAGACCTCGTGGACGTCTCACCTAAATTCAACCCATAGCGACGCTATGAACACATCCAAACTCGTTGTGTACGAACCACTCTACAAAGCTGCAAACATCGACTACAAGACTCTTTGAAGCCCTGTACAAACCCAAACTGACCCTCACAAAGGAAAACGCATCCACAAAAACCTCAGAACCGACAACGACAACACCACAATGCCCGAAATCCTTACACCGTCAAAGCCCGAACGAAAGCGTAGAACAAAGGTCCAAGGCTTCTACTCGGGGCTGAAACCCTTGGCTGCCCTGCCGCGCCTCCGCACGCGAAGGAGTTTGGTGCTGTTGCTGTTGCTTTTGCTGGTGCTTTTGTTGTCGTTGTTGTCGTTGTTGTTGGCTGCTGCTGCTGCTGCTGCTGCTGCTGCTGCTGCTGCTGCTGGCGCTGGCGCTGGCGCTGGTGCTGGTGCTGGTGCGGTTGATGTTGCCGTTGCTGCTGCTGCTGCTGCTGCTGCTGCTGCTGCTGTTGTTGGTGTTGCTGTCGTTTTCTATGCTATTTTTTTTGTTTGGGTTATCTTGGGATTTAAGAGCATCTTTGGGGGCTGATTCATTTTTGCCTGAAGAGAAGGCGTGCGGAATATTGTTTCTGGTGTGGGGAATGGCGGTGAGGCTTATTTGGTGCTTCAAGTCACGACCCGTTGAAGTTTAACGTTTGATTAAGCAAACGGCTCGCGGCATAGGCTTGGGCTGGTTAGGACGTTAGGGCTTACCTAGGGTGTAGGCAATAGGCCCTAGCGTTTAAAGTCCGTAGAGTCAAACGGATATGGTTTAGTTTAGGGGCTATGGTTCCGGTATGTTCCGGCATTAGGTTGGGGTTTGTTGCAGCTTTGGGGTTTCAAGCCTGCAGACTCGGGATACTATTCTATAGGCTATAAGATTAGACGATCTATGGCCGTGGGTTGCGGATTTGTGACCTATTTAGGTTTCTATGTTTGGTTGAGAGCTTCGAGCTTGAGATTTGGGACTTGAGACGTGGTTTGGGGTCCCTTGCTGCACGGAGCAACACGTGAAGCCACAGTGGCGATCTGTAGTTCATTTGCCACAATAAAGCCAATGCTGCTCAAATGAATATATATATAGATATAGATATAGACATACATATATATATATATATATATATGCTACCCCCCCCCTCATGTACCCACGCTTTGCGCTTGAATTGTGCGGGATCGTCGTCGTGGCAATACAAACCTTTCCAATCTCCACTGTTCTTGGTTGTATGCAAAGTACACGAAAGTACGAATATTTTCTTCTATGCCAGCACCAAGTGTAGTTTCACTGTTGCATTTACCAATGATGCTCTTCCTGTGACCAGTGTCTTTACTACTATGGTTATACCCACCGTTCTGATTGCCTCAGTAATACCAACCCAGCTAACACTCTTTATTTCCCCCTGTATTAGTATGTCTGAAAAACAAACTTTCCTAGGTACGCTAGTCCCGTGGCTACTGTTCACCCTGCTTCATACTAGCCCGACCTGTAAAAGTAAATGTTAAGCTATATTGTAATTGGTACTGACTAGATAAATTTGTTGTTGTCGCTGTCTTGTATTGATATGAACTGAAGGTTTACATGTTTATTCTGAGCTTGGTAATTTTTAGCCTATGCATCATCTGAATCATGTCCATCCAATCGAGCTGGAGCTTGTGTGTTCTTACAGAGTCGTTTACATGTTTCGCACCTAATGCATGATGACCAATAAAGACTCCTGCATGTCAGAGTTTTGCGGTGACTGTACTGGGTAGTGCTCTTTACTGTAAGCACCAGTTAAAGACGTACAAACGTGAAGGTGCACCACCTAGAGACACCCCATCCAAGCATGAAGCAACACACGTTATACATGTACCTTTAGAAAAGTGTAGGCGATGCCAATACATTTTCCATATACCACTAAATTTCCCTGAGTCAAGGCTTCAGTCCTAGACAAGAGTAGACGATACGTCTGGTTCCGTACACATTAACGGAGGAAGACGATAAATTAAGTGGTCTTCTCACAGTACCGTCTTCAGGCAGAGATTCATGCCTAGTCTTATACAGCATGAAAGGATTGATTTCATGAAGATGTTCACGAAACATGCAGCAACATATGTAATCACATCGCAAGAGCACATATGTCATATGTGTGCCCAACAAATGAATCCGGCCAATCCGTCAAACTATAAAACTAGTGGTTAGGCCGGTTAAGCCGACTAAATTTCATCAACATTTTTGCACATGTCAAATGCGTATTAACAGTTCTATCAATATGAACCTCAGTTTTCCTAGTTGTACGACGCCGCTGGAATGGAATTGCTGTGCTAGTCTACATGTCCAAACAGTAAAACAGAAATGACGGGATGAATCACGGCAGTCACAGCTGTATGGTAACGTACATGACTGGCATACTTCACAAAAGACCAGACGTTGCATATAACCAACATGACAATAGAAGGCGAAGGGGAGCCGGGAAATAAGTCTGGAACATAAGATGTTCATTTTGGTGTTGACGGTACGATAACTGCAATGACGATGAAGTTGATTGAACAGATTACTGCACAATGGGCTAGATCATGGAGGATTACGTCAACGTGTAAATGATAAAAACGATACTCAGAATCGTGCTGGACTTACATCTCCTGAAGCAACAAACACAGTATTGACTAAATAATGACTGGCATACTTCATGACAAACCAGATGTTATAACTACCATGACAATATACACGCCGAGTAAGGCGGGAAACCGAATCATCCGAATCATTTCCGAATCATTTTGATTCGGGCCCGGATCCAAGATTCAAGATTCAAGATTGCCCAGGGGTCTTGCCAAGGAATCTTGGATCCGACTTTTCATCCGAATCATCCGAATCATTTCCGAATCATTTTGATTCGGGCGCGGGCCCGGATCCAAGATCCAAGATTCAAGATTGCCCAGGGGTCTTGCCAAGGAATCTTGGATCCAATGGGTGAGTGTCGGATCCAAGATGCCCAGGCAAGACCCCTGGGCAATCTTGAATCTTGGATCTTGGATCCAGCGCCGGGACCGAATCAAAATGATTCGGAAATGATTCGGATGATTCGGATGAAGGGTCGGATTCAAGATTGCCCGCGCAAGACCCCTGGGCAATCTTGAATCTTGAATCTTGGATCCGGGCCCGGGCCCGAATCAAAATGATTCGGAAATGATTCGGATGATTCGGGGCTATTTTGGAGGGAACCCGCCAATGACATGAAATAATAAAGTACAATCTGCAGGCACTGCCCCAATCCCAAACTCCCACGCCATCCTGAACCTGAGATTTAGGAGAAAGGCTTGGGGACGAAGGGGATCCCGCGGACCCACGCCTTCCGAAAACTGGGATTTAGAGGAAAGGCGTGGGTACATGGGGGGGGGGGGTACCATATATATATATATATATATATATATATATACATAGCTAAATGATCGGTTGTCGATAGTGCGGCATCATTCTGGCGCTGCGGCGCCACCCTAATGAATCCAGACCGAATGATTGCCCGACTTTTCCACCTGCATTGGCTGAGGCATCGCTGGCTGCCTCCTTGGCCAAGGATACCCCTATCCCTGGCTATAAGACCCAGCTAGGAGTAGACCCAGCCACGAGTTTTTGGCGCGGCCGACAGTAGAAATTGCCGACTCCAAATTCCTTTGAACTGCGGCCTTGGGTCTTACATACACTTGGAAACCTATATAACAACGGGATCCATCTTGCGGAAACCGGATCCCGGGTACGTGCAGATCACATGCCAGGGGGTTGATGGGGGTTTGCCAGTCAAACACCCAAACCAGCCACTCCTTTTAGGGTCTGTCGCCCTTCCTTTCCTGTGGCACACGGGGTATATGCAGTTCGAAAGTCAGAACACTTCCAGCTCCGAGCTTATAAGCTGCACTACACGAAACTTATGAATTTGACAGGCCTGGCCTAGAAAGCAAGCCCTAAACCCTAAACCCTAAACCGAGAAACTAAGCCCTACGAGGTTCGCACAGCAGGTAGGATCCTCAAACAGGCGATGCTGTTGCTAGAGCCCGTCTCCTTCGTAGCTTGTTGATCCTCTTCTATCAAAAACCACGCAGAAGTTTCGACCATCCGACGGAGATAAGCGCAAAAACGAAGAGAGGCCAAGACCTAGAGCTCAGGGACCGAACTGAGCCCTGGGTTGCTTACTCCCAGCTCGAAGCGTTCAGAAGTCAAGCCGAAACCATCCCTAAGGGGCATAGGCTCGAAGGGGCCCCCACCCTGCAATAGTGGTATAGTAGGAATACAATAGGGCCCTGATAAAATCCTTATAGTCACTATTACAGGGTGGGGGCAGCTTCTAAGGCATAGGGTTTCGGGTTTGGGGGTTTAGGGTTTAGGTTGTTGTCGAAATTATGGTCCCTTTTTGGGTCCTGAATATAATACTCCACCTAATATTTATTTAGGGTACCCAATTAGGGACCATAATTTTGCCAACTACCCGTACATTTACTGCGGGGGGGGGGGGGCGGGCAAATATCTACAAAGAGCCTAATTACTGTATTGATACTTGGACTCTTTGGGCATGAAGTACAGGTCCTAATCAGGAAGGACAGTACTGCTCCCTTGTTAAAACGACGAATCTGTGAAGGGGCCGATTCTGGGCCATCGCTCCGCTGGAAAAGGGATCGTTTTCCAGGCTAGTGACAAGGACAGTCGCATGAAAAGGCGGCGTAGACTGCCTCGCAAAGCTCACGGTTTATAGAGTATATAGATAATATAGTGCATTTTCAAGTCTAAACGCTCGGAGGTCTCCAATCCGGATCTGAAGTTCTCCCCGGTCCTGAACCCCAATCCTCAACCCTTAAATCCCAATCCTCCACCCGTTTTACCCGACACGCCCGGGGACCCGAGAGTCGGACGCCGGTGGTGGCTGTGAGGGCTGCATGTAGGTTTCGGAGCTGCCTCAGGGGGCTTTAGGCTTTAGGGTTCAGGGCTTAGGGTTTAGGGAGGCCCCAAAGTAGTTCCTTTTTAAAAATACCTTATAAATTTTAGGGTCTACCCGGAGGCCCCAAAGTAGTTCCTTTCAAAAAATACCTTATATAGGATTCTATATACGAACCCCAAAAGGGAACTACTTTAGGGCTTAGGGTTTCGAGAGCATTCGTATACGTCGCACACCGTACGGACCTTCAGGGTTTCGGGTTTAGGATAACATCATACAGGGTCCGGGCGGCCTACACCTGAGACCTCCGCAAACCCTGAACCAGACATCCGAACCTCCAAGGCGCTCAGCGCTCAGAGCGTAGCATCCCCTTTTGATGATAGTTGGAGATGAACAAGATGACAGTTCGGCCCGGAAAAGTGGCCGTTCTACGGGCGCAACCCGTCCCCGGACGCCAGAACTGTTGAATAGGTAGGGCCCGGAACATCAAACTGCACCGCGATTCAATGAACCCAATCCCTAACATCCCCAAGGCCCACAACCCAACCAGTTCCTAGAAGACACATATTGTAGATCCCGTATCCTACACACCCAAAACCCTGAAAGCTACACATAACGGAAACTGTTGTCTCAGAGAGCGCACGCATGTCGTCAGGCCGATCCGCGGGTATTCCTCGCGAGGGGCCTGCCAAAGATCACATGCTACCTGGACCCCAAATGAACTGGGCTTGGGGTCCAGGGTGTACCTGGCCTCAGCATGTTACTTGGAGGGGCAGGGGACTTAGTAAGTAATGGCCTTTTAAGGGTTTTGGGCCATGATTTTGCTTACTTTTGGCGAAGCGGTTTAGGGTTTGGGGTTTCGGGTCGTCAGATTTATGGCTTAAGATGTTTTTTGGATCTGATTCAGCGTCTGATGAAGCTGGCGACCTTTGTTTCGTTCCATCCATTAAAAAGTTGGTTCGCTTCAGTCGATAACCCTATAATATGAGGATCCATGCACCTAAGCAGTACGTAGTATGTCCTGTTAGTCAATGTAGCTACAGAGGAAGAAAGACCACCAAAATGCAACCCCGATGTTACTGATTGCTGCGGATCTAGTTCTGGCTCTTGTCGACAAGTTTTCGTTCATTGCATCCATATCGTCTTTGAAGTAATTATGCTTACAAGGGCCTATAGGCCTATAGAGCTTCTGAGTGTCAAGTCTATATTGCATCATCCATGATTTAGAATTTAGACTTCTCCACCCCTGCCGCCGCCTTGTGCACGCTGTGGAAAAGGAAGCTTGTCCCGCGCATGAACCGGGCTCTTCCCGTCTGCACTGGCTTGCTCTCTTTGTCTGAACTCGCGTTGCAATTGCTCACGCTGAAGCTGTTCTCTTTGCATCTGGTCTCGTTGCAACTGCTCGCGCTGTTCGCGCAGTTGCTGCTCACGCTGCTGATGTTCACGCTGCTGCTGTTCGCGCAGCTGCTGCTCTCGCAGCTGCTGATCGCGCTGCTGCTGCTCGCGCTGCTGCTGCTCTCGGTGTTGCTGCTCTCGCAGCTGCTGCTCTTTTCGCTCTCGCTGCTCTCGCTGCTCGCGCAGCTGTGCTCTCTGGTACTGCTCGCGCTGGTCGCGCTGAACCTGGGCCTCGCCCTGAGGCTGCATTGGGCCCATGACCTTATTGGCGGCAGAAGGAACCTCCAGCCTCCCTGAGAATCGAGGCTACCGTATCTAGCATCATCCTATGCAGTGCACCGGGCATCCTGACCATCATGAGCCTGAAAAGATCAAAAATAAACCGTCGTAGCGCAGCCAAGCGACTTGGTTCTGCTGCATAGCCGGGAACGGCTGTGCATGAGGAGACTGCTGCGCATGTGGGGACTGATGGGCCATGGGTGACTGGTGTGCATGGGGAGATTGTCGGGCATGTGGAGGAGAATAGTTCGATTGCTGCTGGAGCTGTGGCGGCGAGTGCTGCGCATAGCCACCTCAGCATCGCCAGTGCAGCTCTATCGATCCGACTGTAGCACTCTTGAATACAATACGGCCTAGGATGTGGACGAAGTTCCAAGCATGAGCAGTTCGCTTTCCAGATGACGTCCGGTGCTACCCAAAGAGAAAGACTATGCACAACACATGCCGGATGTCCCATTTCATATCAACTTCTACGTGGCCACAAAAATATTCGTTTTCCTGGCCGGGGTACTGGTATTCCTTTCTGACCACAAGCCTCGAACAACACCATCGCTCAAACTATCTCAAAATGCCAGTGGCCCTTACCACAAAGCCTCAACTCTACCCCAGGCCCTGTGCCATCATTTTGCATCGACCCTCTTCCCCCCTGAAGCGCCTCGACCTGAACCGTTTTCCCTTCAACCCTTCCCGCAAACCTGCCCAAACAAACGTCGGTTAGAAGGGGCCCCCACCCTGTAATAGTGGTATAATGGGAATATAATAGGGCCCTAATATAATCCTTATAGTCACTATTACAGGGTGGGGGCATCTTCTAAAGTGTCGGGCTCATTCATGAACGGGTTTTGGGCTTGGGATCTAGAGCCCCCTAACCCCTAAACCCAAGAGTCTTCTGCGGGGCTTGCGGCTGAAGCTCTTGGATGGGCTTAGCCCACTCAAACCTTCCAATATCCCGTAAACACGGTTCATATTTCAAAAACGCGTAGGATCCCAAATATGATGTAAGGTATATTGCTCAATTAACAAGGGGTATTGGAAAGTCTGGGCCTGTCGACCCCAGTAGGCAAATCCCTTCACCCGGCTGCTCGAACACTGCCTGCAACAGACCCCTGATCAAATAACAACCGACCTAAAAAGTGGTTATCAGAGTGATCCTAACATTACTAATGAAGAACAGGAGTCTATAAATCAGCGGTCATACAGTATTTCAAGCTTAAAACCCATCTGAAACTCTTGCAGAATCCTTGAAAAAACACTGTAGAGCACGTTCAAGACCCGTTGTATTAAGCAACCGTGAACATTAACCCGAAATCACCTAACGGCTAAAAGCCGAACCCTATAAGCCCTGAACCCAACATCTTGTTGGTATCCTTGTAACAACCCGTGTAGAACCCTCAACCCAGTAAGGAAAGCTTCTTATGAACATCGTTCTGCAAAACCCTTATGGAAACTGCACAGAAACCAATGAGACAACCAAACCCAAATGGAACCTAGGTTCCACACTTTTCCTTTCCCTGGTATTCGGCTTAATAAGGGAACCCTACATATTAAAAGGGCCGAAGGGTACTGCTGCGGAACCTAGGAGCTATTCAACAAACACACTGTCATGAGGATGTTGCGGATACCTAGAGGCTCCATAGTAGTTCCTTTTTATAGTTCATATTTTTCAATCCTATAAGGTAATTCCAAAAAGGAACTACTATGGAGTCCATGAATATCTGCTACCAAAAAGGCCTGCAGCTCGGAGGCCCCGGCCACGACCCACCGGAAGCAGCGAATTCCCAAGAACATTGGCCTCGACGGATCCAGTCTGGACAGGCTCCTGTAGTTGAGGCCTATAAAATCGTAAACCCTAAACTTCCTAAACCCTAAACCCTAATTCTTTCGGGAGCTTTGGGCCTAGGGGTTTGTTCGATGCCGCACCCCTAAAAAGGCTTATACCCCTGTGCAACATGGGAGTTTCCGAAAACAGGGGACCCTAATAAAGTACCTTAAATAGTAGGATCCTTCTTATCAGGACCCCAAACTAAGGTACCCTTAATTTTTCGGAAACTCCCACATGCTTCCCAAAGCTCCGAAGTCCGAAGCCCACGAAACTCCAACTATCAGCCCCAACCACAGAGCCGATGTGGAGTATGGTCTATATTACTACCTGGTAAGCCTTTGGGCCGTCATTGAACCGTTCGTTTGGGAATTCTCAACGAATACTGAAGATGAGTCGCTTGTTTTCGGCCCCGAACGCCACCGAACGGGTTCGAACGCTTATTCGTGGTTTCTCTGTTGAAACTATAGCTCTTGGGACTGGGGGAAACCCTTTGAACTTCGAAGCTCAATCTCTCTTTTTTTCAGCCTCGCTCCCAGAGTAGCAGAACCTGAGTCAGGTATCGCTCCAAAGAACGAGCGATTCTCTGGCGAGCCGAGACAGACCTCGTGAGAGCACAGTAACGGCCAATGAAGTCCTCGTCAACCGCCACTGCCTCTGCCATCGGGTTTTCAACAACAGGATGTTTCTCGGCCTGCCTGTATATATTCTCCACCACATGCCAAACCATATGGATCTTCGGGATCATGGCAAACCGCAACTCCCCAGCAGCATGTGACAGGTGGGCCAGCCGAGAATAAGCATCCAAAAAATGCCGGCCTGCCTTTGCAATTCTCAGTGCTTCCGAAGCCGGTATCCAAAGATCAGCAGCATACAAAAGCCGCATGAACGTGTTCAATGCACGGCTCCCAGATCCGATCAGTCTCAGCCTCTCGTCGGTACTGCTTTCGACATCGTGGAAGCGAGAAAACCATTCGACGAAAAGGCATATATTGGTGGTGACCTCGCCCTTGTTCCAGGATCCTTGAGGATCTTGAGCACCCGTTTTCCAGCCCAGGGTCTCCCGAGTTATCTGCTGGATATAGCTCGTCTTGTGATTTTCCTGCACCATGGCAGGGCAAACATACGATTGAAGATGCCCTGTTTATGCTAAGCCTGAAAAAGGCCCTAAACCCGGTAAACACTGTAAACCCGCCAAAATTGCAAACTTCGCAAGCCACGGGTCTTTGCAATACTGGATGAACCAACTGGAAAGCTGACGGACTTGCTCATCAGGAGTGTCCCCAGGGCACAGTTTCAAGAGGATCACACAGCAGCTTGCACCAAAGGTTTTGCCCACTCCCATATTGACACAATGGAACAAGTCTGGCTTATGGAAAGCCTCCTTCTTGTCGGGCTCGTGCATGAGAACTCTGGTGAACACAGGCTCCCGGCTCCAAGGAGGAACTTGGAAAAACGTGTTGGCATATGCAGCTGTTCGGGACCTGCTGGGTTGGGAGTTTCGGTGCCGCAAGAATGTATATAGGTTCATTATCTACACAATCAACCTCAAAAGGGTATGTAATCTGGAAGCTGAGATGCAGATCCTCAAAGTCGTGCATTGGCTTGCCAGCACAGCACAAGTGGCAGATGCCCCCAGGCGGCTTCGCAGAAGTCGCCGCCTTGGGGCCATTCTTGTAACTCCTCTCCAGCTTCGCTGCGGATGCCTTAGCATCAAAGCCGGCATCGAATGTGTTGCTTCTCTCTCTCTCTCTCTCTCTCTCTCCTTGTTTTGTTCTCTTTCGTTTTGTCTTTATGAGCTTGCAAAACTGCCAACAATGTTCATCCCAGCTGCAAGATACGACCAATCGCCCTTTTGCCCCAACGGAATCAGGTGCACCCGCTTGCCAGATCTCAAAAGCACACCTTTGCGGGCGGCCTCATCCAGCGATTTCACAGCGGTCTCCAGAATTTCATCGTACATCTCGGGTCGCACTCGGTACTCTTCCTCGGGAGAAACAGCATTGAAACTGTTTGTTTGGAAGCCCTCATAATGCTGCCTAGCCTATCCACTATATAGGAAAAAACGTTGATGTACACAGCTTATATGGGGTTTTAGAATTTAAAGGGTTCTCGTCGTTCTCGTTTTCAAAAGCTAACCCCGAGGGTCCAACTACCCCAGATACATACATAGTGCGAGAAAGAATCTTTCAAACCTGCGATCATCAGAAATCTCGTCTCAAAGGCGTGGCCTAAATAATTCAGCTTTTGGCGGATCGTGTCATCTATGCCTTCCAGCTGGCCTAGCTTCGTCGTGGAAGTTCCCCGTCCAAGCGGTGATTGGAAACTTATGCAAAGAGCACCATCTTTTTTGTAAGTCGTTCCTTCGTCCCCGTGCAAGTAGACGGGAATGCAGTCTTCAAGCCTCAGGCCTGAAGAAAAAACCTCGTGCGAGGGGTGGTCCAATTGATAGTTTGCCCAGAAGGCCTTCAAAGTCGACGACAGTGATGTGGCACCACAAGTCCCAACGAGCCGGTCAAGCTTTGATTTTCTGTCTAAAACTTCAATCCAGGAAGATGCATCGAGGAACGGGTAGTTCTTGTTCCCCCCTATTTCAGCGTAGGAAATCGGAACGTCCAATCGCAATCCATGTTTCGCGAAAGCAGCGGCCACAACGGTTTCCTTGTCGAGGGTTTAGGGTCTCAGCTCTGAGGTTTCAGGGTTTTTGGGCCAGTTAAACATCATTACATAGGGATACCAGGATACTCGAAGGTGCAGTTGAAGCATGCACTTCTCTTTGCGAATAAACACATTTGTTTGGGATTATTCGGCTATTATCTTGGGAGTTGTGCTTGGATGCCAAGGATCAGATTTCGATTCTGGTTTCTGATAAAGTTCCCAAAGGACCGGACAGATTCTCCTGAGGGGTTGTCCTGCAGCTGGTTGTTGCCGTAGGTCGTAGTCCATGATCGCATTGGCCTCTTGGATGATGCCAACACACGGAGCCTGAGACGTACACGATCAAGATGTTCTACACCCCTATGCAGCTATACATATTAACAAGCATGCGTGACAAGCGGTGCATGGTGCCATGGCTACTGTACTTACTGGCTTCAGCCGTGTGGCTCCCGTGGCGTAATTCCAGGCCTGTCGCTTCGCTGCACAACTCGGACCTGGCATTGTTAAAATATAAATGCTTCGGAGGTGGCATCATGATGTTTCGCAAGGGACACAGCACGACCTGATGAGTTCTTTTCTTCAGCGGGCAGCCGTGGGAATCACACAGCTCCAAGCCCTACCCTAGTATGCAGTGGCGAGTAACCATACGGTATGTGCATTCACACACTGCATGTAAAAGCTTCGGATGAACCATTGAAGTTTGGAGTGAGCCCGTCCAGTCAGATAGATGTATAATGAGGCCCGAAAATTGTGTGTATATATATATATATATAGGACTATGTAGGACCCATCCGAACTTCTAAGATTCTGGAACTGTCGAGTGAACCTTTGCACGGTTCACTTCTTGGCTCTTTTCTTCGGGTTTGCCTTCGGGGTTTCGGGTGGCTCGGTCTCAGCTTGGCGCCTTCGGTTCCGTGCATCACCGAGGATGAGCCTTGAACAAAGGCGAAGGTTTCCAAAGGTTGTTGCGAGGTTTGTGAGGGGAATTTTTAGTGGCAGCCGAGCGGCTTGATGCGAGACTCCAGGGCGATGAGATCGGCAGACCTCAGAAGGATGTGTCAACAATGGTCCGGTTTTGGGGCTTGAAGCATCCGGGAGTTCATAGGGCATTCAGGGTGTAGGAATCCAATTATATAGGGTTTCAGGTTAGGAGGCCAGGGCTTGGGGTTTGGGCTCGGCGTGAGCAGTGACATCTCTAAACCCATATTGACCCAAAGGTTCATAGACTCAGAAAGGGGAGTAATGTCGCCGAAGGTCGGCTTCTTGACCTTGTCACGAACACCATCGATCTTCTGCTGCAGCCTCAGATGTAGTATAGCTTCCAACCCATCAAGATAGCACTCAAGAGAGATAGACCCGCACAATAAAATGCAGCTCGATTGTTTGCATCGGCACCGAATTCTAGTCCATGGCAGCCAAACGTGCATTGAATGGCTCTGCCTTGAAGGATTGATATACAAAATATGTAAAGAAGGGCCCTGCCAAGTGGTCACAAACCGTGTCCCCGCCATCTCTCTCGTTGCGACAGCCTTGCTGACCTTGGATAGTTTGGATTGCAAGGATGTGAAATCAATAACCAAATTGCATTGCCACAGCTTTCTATACACTTATCATTGAAGCAAGGGGCCTTTGAACCTTTGTATGAGGGCTGCTTCGAGGAAAGCCGGGCCCATTGTTTCGCTGGAGATGTATATGATAGCCATGTGCTGCCATCGTTGTTTTTCGTACTTGTAGCCAAAAGACTTGTTGTGCCACCTGTTGTAAGGATTGTATGAGAAACCGATTTTGTAAACCATCGGTCCATGCAGCCTCAATGTCTCCTCGATGACATTGATACCATGCCGAATCACCTGACCTGCCAGTGCATTGGCTTTGGGTAGTTTGATGATGAACTCCTGCGTGGCAAGCATCTTTTCGAACACTTCACGGGTTCTTGGCAAGTGCTGTATCTTCGAGTCCAAGCGGATAGCCAAGGTGTCAGGAACTGTCACCTAGGATTGGCTGCCAGTGCTACTCCGAAAGCCAAACACCAGACACAAGAGCCCATCTCTACAAGGCCCAGCGGCTGGCAGCACTGGCGACGTCGACGATGATGGCTCCAGCGAGCTTCTCTGGGCCTTTCAGATGCTGCAGGGTTGGTTTCAGCTTCAGTTTATTCGGGTGGAGTTAAAGTTGCATGCTGTGCAATTCAGGCAAGACTCCCTAGTGTACTCAAGGAGCTCCGTCAGCCAGCATTCATCATCGTCTTCTCCGGGCATAGCTCTCAAAGCCGAGGAGCCATTCATAAAGCAAGGAGCAAAGTGGCTTATACTTCA